CACTATAGAATAAATACCTCATACGTGAATTAAAAACATCGGACAGTAATAAATGAGTAATTGAATTTTGTAAAATATTACACATTTTTCAATTTGAAATTTGGACAGTTTTACGTGTCCCTGATTTGCGTTACGGTAGCCAATTATATTAACTGGTTAAATTAAAATGAACATCGTTTTATACCACTTTCGCTAATGGGGGAACACATAATTGACGAGGCTCCAGACGATTCTTTAACTTTGGGCCAATTAAAAAAAATAGTAAAACAGTTGCCAAATAAGCAAAAGGTAAAATGTAAAGGTGTAAAATGTTTTATAAAGTCTTGCATTGATTATAAATTCACTCATATCTGCACATGCTACTAAATAGCCAAAAGAAATTTCTTTTTCCTATGCTGATAGTGATAGTATTTCAAGAGAAATTGATGAGTTCTACAGCTATGCAGAAATTTCACAATGCCTAGAGAACAAAGATATTTTCGATGAGGGATTCGGTGAAGGTAAATGGTCATAAAAATACATTTTAAATTTCAAATAATATTAATGAGCTTTTTCGTATAAAATATTTTTAATAGCTTGGACTACTTGTACTATGTCCGAACGCCGAGTTTACATCGAGTACTTATTGGAAACTTTAGAACTAAAAGATCCTGAAAAAAGATTTTTATCTGCGAAAAAGTTATTGTATATTGCTCAAGGTGGTGTATTATACTCGTCGTTCCGGATTATTTTGAGAAATTACAAGTCAATTTATACTTGGCTGATCGAATTCAGGAACATTTGGCGAAACTATAACACAAGATCAACACTTTGAATGGATCATGGAAAACAACAAATTATTACGAAAATGCGGGGCTCTCCTCTCATATTTCCAAGCTCTGAAATTGGCGTGTCATGCACATGACTTTTATAGGTATTTTACTAACTTTTCTCTCTATATATAAATATATATATATACTACTTAAATCACTAACAATATATAAAGTCATCCAGATTTTAATGCGGATAGACAAGTATATATCGACAATATAAACACTGAAATTGGATTCTATTTGACATTATTATATATGCTTGTTGAAACTCATCGCGGGGATGATTCATTTGGCACAGAGCTTGGTTTGTTTATTGATATTTTGAATTATAATTCAAATGCAATTTCATAATTTCTGATATCTTAACTGCAGATTACCTATTTAGCTGAACTTAATCCGCCAATGGCCGTATTCCTGTTTGAGATAATCGCCTCATTACGGGAGAAAGAAAAAAATGCAAAAGGCTATCCTGTCAAAAAGGTGATTTAAGACTTTTATTTGGACCAATAATTTTACATAAGCTAAGATGCTGACACGTAGATGGAACTGTCTAAACAAATACAAAAGTTTCTCCTTTTATTATGGAAAGTTATTTTAGCAAGTTTAGGTGGATTAAATGATATGTTGAGGCTGAAAAATACTGCTAGAACAATTAGTGGACTACCACCTATTTACAATGAGGGTAAAGCATCTATATTTTACTTTGTTATTAGTATAATACATATTACTTTTAGTTCTGACTGATTTTTTAGGTTTGTTAACCAAGTCCACACCAGCGGATTATTATACGTTCCAAAATGAAGCAACGCAAAAGTACCCAACTTATGTTCCACCTCCCTGTCCATTTATTCCAACTTCTCCAATTGCTGCAAGTTTATTTCCAAGTGCAAACAACCACACTAATGGAAATGAGTCTTCGGGACAAAATGTATCTTCCATTAATGGCAATGGAAACAGTAGCCAACCTCCAAAATCCAGAAAACAACAATTTCAAACAAATCAGCGGCAACCATTTATTTTTCCATTTTCAAAATCTACTCCTAGTGTACCTAAATCAATACAAGAAGCTGGTGATTTATATCTTAAATTTATGCATGTAAGTTTAGGTACTTTTCAATTCTGGAAAGAAAAAATCGAAATGAAAAAGCTGCCTACTGGGGATATAATCAATAGTATACCTTTCAACGAAAACTGCGTCACGGAAAATCAACACAATAATAATGATGATGATGAATCTCAAATCGAAATAATGAAAATAGACAAAGAGAAGATCGAGCGCATTGAAATTCTTTATGTATCCTTCTTTTTTAATTAATGCTTCGTTCGATTGTCCTCCATTAAATATTCATCAATAATCCATAACCACGATAAACTTTTTTGCCTTTTGTTTGTTTGAAACATTATCTATCTGATAGAAATCAATTCTTCCTCATTTACAAAATATTGTTATTATGCTTCTTAAACTATTGCTTGCCACAGTGTCTAACAACAAAAACTCTGATATTGACAAAGGTGGGATTTCTGCCAATAATGGTGGGCATATAAAGTCGTTAATATGACATATAACAATGCAATAAATTTAACTTTTATTAAATATATAACACTCCAAGATCACATTTCTGAAAGCAGTATTAATTCTTCTAATGGTAACACGATCGAGGAAATAGACATCATGCGACATCGCGAAATTACGTCAAAGGCAGTGTCAGCTATAATTCTCTTAATGCTCAAACATTTAAAGTTGTCACGTATCCTTTAGACTATTATTAATACCCTCAATATATGAAATTAATAACTTAGCCTTAATGAGAATAAAATTACAATAGATGTATTAAAATTTGAATATTTGTCGCAACTCTTGGTCGATTCAAATTGTTTGCTTCTCATCTTGAAGATGTTTGGTTTGCAAGATGTGAGTTTAATGGTCAAAGCTAAGAATGAAGTCGAAAATATGAAGTAAGTAAAATTATTCGGTTGTATTTTGAAAATTTTTAATTGGATTTTTTTTTAATAAATTTTGATAAAAAGTGGGTTAAAAATATAAATAAAAAATTTATATATATAAGGTGGGTGTGGGTATTATGGCGAAGCTAACATTTACTACTAACAAAAATTTTTGTTTTTT